GATGTACTTCTTGACTACATATTGACTTTAATGGGTAGGGATGATGAAGATGGGTTCTCTGATTCTAACCTGGAGCTCCTGCACACTCAGGTATGTTCCATATGAAGTAATCGTAGCGTCCTGGTACCATAAGATGCCTGCATCCGTTAAATAAGTAATGAAGCTAGGATGATGTAAGTACTTGTTGAGTTCATCATTAGTGGACAAGTCCGGAAATTTAAGTCATGATTCTGGAAGTCGTTTCCAAGTAAAGAAAAAAAAAATGCCAAGTTATTTTACAACCGCTAGAAGTTTACATGTGCACTTTGGAACACTCACTGTGCTGATAGATCCAATATAATATGTTGCCTTGAGTTATTCATACTCAAATTTCTCATTCTAAATTATGTTGGCCTTGGGTTATTCTCCAAGCTCTTATGAGAGATTATAATGTTATTGGTGATCCTCAACATTTTCGAAATCATACTATCATGAGAAGCTATTCATGTGTGCTCAAGACTGAAGCGATATATGACTGAAGCTGTCTTTGTCTCTAATCCCTTCTCTTCACGTTCGTGGTTGAGAAATTATTTAGTCTACAAGCCTGATATTGTGATATGTGTATCTTGTGTATGCGTTGCTGGCTACATAGTTTGCCGAGTTCTTTATTCTGGTGATCACCTTATTTTTCCTGCTTTTGGTTTCTATTTCCTGAATGGGGATATGATTCTATGCAGTCCCTTGCTTTAAGTGCTTGCACTACTTTGGTATCTGTGGAGCCAAAATTGACCATTGAAACGAGGAACCTTGTATTGAAGGTGAAAGATGCTACTCAAAACCGTAAATTGTTTGAGATAACAAATTTTTGCTGCTTCTGCTGATGTCACATTTGACAGGCTACTTTAGGGTTCTTTGGTTTACCAAATGAACCGCCTGATGTTATCGATGGTCTCATACACAACCTTATTACTCTTCTCTGTGCAATCCTTGTTACAAGGTATTTATTCTCTTAAAACTTACCTGATTACTTTTTTTACTTTGTATGGATTTTCGCATGAATTAGAAGATCTGTGTGAATGTTTGGGTGGTTTCACACCATTTGCCTTCCAGTAAATATAAGCTGGTAAGACTAATACACAAGCAAAGCGAGGGAGACAGTAACTATGAAATGCAAGAGTCCTCAGATTGAAGTTTTGGAAAGCAGGGGATGCTGACCTGTTTCTTAGTTAGGTGGAATCACTTATTAGACAATATATCAGGAAGCCAACAAAGGAGTTTGGAGTCTTTTCCCCACTAATGGAAGTACTACAAAGAATTGTATACGTATGTGATAATCATGGGCTTTTTCGAGGAGAAATGGAGCCTTTAGACTTCCTAAACAACCACTAAACAACTGGGTATTCAATTGTAGGTCATAGTAACTCTGAGAATTCAGATTCACTTTTCTTCTCCGAGATAAATATTTTAGACTGCTAAATGAAATTACGAAAGAAGACATGTTAAAATTTTAATTTCAGATCTTTCTGTGCAGTTTTGATAGAGATCAGGAAAGTAAATCATGAGAAGGAAAGAAAGAATGGAATATATCTAATGCACAAATCAAGGGATTGACTGAAATCATGGGATCCTACTTGGCATGGAAGGCTATCAAATTGTTATCATATTTCTTCTTTATAACTATTACCTTAAATAAATAATATGCTTATAAAAAGGTATTGAGAGAGTAATATTGTTTGACGGCTTTTTAGCTTGGGCGGGATTATTTCCTCTGTTCCTGGAGAACCTTGTGTTCTTTTTCATTTTTTTTTTATTTAATAATATTTAGTTTCTGTTACATTGGCCCTGTACTCCTATCAAGTTTATCTGTAACCCAGTCGAAGCATCTTGTCAAGCAAATCAATATTGATTGGAAGTGTTTAATTTTTATAGATTTAATGAGTAAAAACCCTTGTTAGAAAAGGTATTCATATAGTTTTTGCCATGACTGTTTTATATTTGTGGAAAGTGATGGATGTGTCCTTAGGCAGGGATTATTTTTCTGATGTTTATATTTGCTGAAAGGTAGACATGCTTCTTTGTTGCTGTACAATAGTTTTTTATACCTATAGAGGAATTGTAAAGAGGCTGGTGATCCAATATTGTGAGTTGCATATGCCTTGAACCCTCTTGTCGCCTTCCTTGTATCTCCCTTCTTTGCTTAGTAGATAAAACTTGTGATAATATTTCTTTGTGGGATTATTCTGAATGCTTGAAGTCTTCGTAAGAATTAAATATAGTGTTTCAAAGTATTTGTATATGAGGCTAGGGAATTCTGATCTTGCGGTGTATGTAAAGTTATTAAACTTTCCTATGTGTGTGTTATTTAGATTTAACTTAGTTCCCCCCAGTATCTGTGAATGAAACTTGAAGTTTTATTTATGCAAATGACTTCTATAGAAATAGATAATTTCTTCACTTCAACATTTGTGTCATATACCCTACCAGGAATTATTTTGCCCAGTCACATTGCATAGATAGGCTTTTGGACGTACTAGTCATTAATGTGATTGTGGATATACTATTTTGTTCCAAGGCATATGCTATGCCTATTTTTAATGTGTTATCTAATCCAGTGGAGAGGATGGAAGAAGCCGAGCAGAACAGTTGCTGCATATCTTGAGACAGATTGATCCATACGTTTCCTCCTCTGTTGAATATCAGAGAAAAAGAGGTTGTTTTGCAGCCTATGAGATGCTTCATAAGTTTCGGACTGTATGTGTTAGTGGATATTGTTCACTCGGCTGCCAAGGAACTTGCACTCACAACAAAAGGATAGACCGTTCTTCGACTTGCAATTTTAGCAATTTACCATGTTAGTCTCTTGCTCAACTGCTTGCTGTAATGCTGTCTATGAGCTTTCGAATATATCTTTGGTTACTTATACTAATGTTATGCTATTTCGATAATTGCTAGCTGCATTTGTATCACCAAGTCGTGATGCTTTGTGTTTGGGGGAGAGGATAATGGTGTATCTCCCACGCTGTGCAGATACAAATTCCGAAGTTAGAAAAACCTCTGCTCAGGTATGTGATTGACTAAATGTTGAATGCGTACCTTGTTCTGTTTGTTTCATCACTATATAGAATATGTATAAATTAACATGTCTATGGCTGACTGGGTCATTGTTCTTGGTCAGACATTGAATCTTCAGTTATACTTTGGATCCAACTTGATTTGAAATTATCCTCTATCTGCAGATCCTTGATTTATTTTTCAGTATATCTCTTTCATTACCGAAATCTACACCTGGACTTGACATTGAACTGTGCTACAGTGCTCTGTCAGCTCTTGAGGATGTTATTGCCATCTTAAGGAGTGTAAGTGAAAAAACAACTCTCTTCTTTTGGTGCTTTTTGCTTAATGTTACTTCATAATGGACAGCAGAAATGCTTCCGTTTCCTTTT